TCGTGTATGGCATAGGAAGTCAGACAAAAAGGATATCTCTGAACATTCCTCTTCTGTGAAGGAAAAGTCAAAGAAGACAAAAGGCAACAGCTGCACGTTATTTGAGAATTGGATGTGAAGCTCTATTTAAGCAAGTCTTCAACATCATTTCAACGTTGACGAAAGATATTGAATAACCATTATTGAACAACTTTGAAACAAGAAAAAAATAATTCTTTAACGAACACTCTAGTTTTTCTTTGTTCTTAACTTGTGTAAAAATCACTGTTGTGATAACAACTTCTTAGAAGCACTTAAACACATATTTGTATTACTTTGTAATAGTTCCTTAAGAGACCAAGTTGTGGTCAGAATTCTTGAGAAGACTAAGACAGATTGTCTTAGTGATATCACTGTAATCAAGTTTTTGATTAGTGGATTAAATCCTCGTTTGAGAGAGGTGAAATCACCTTGGCCGGGTGGATTGGAGTAGTTTGAGTTCAAATGAATCAGGATAAAAATAACTTGTTCATTTTTATTATCTAAAGTTGTTTTTGAAACCCCTTATTCAACCCCCCCCCCCCCCTTCTAAGTGTTTTCCTATCTTCAGACACTTCCATTTTTGTCTTCTGTTGGTATAATATGGTATATGTGTAAAGGAAAAGCTTGAAAATATGGTGTATTCATATATGTATTAGTTTTGGAATAGTATTGTGTTGAAGTTTTACTTATTGAAATTTGCATTATTTTATTTTGGAAAATGTAATGGGCTTATTGCTCTTCAAAAATCATGAGCCCGATAATTGTGTAATGATTTTCTCGAAAAAGGATTTGAGTGGTGAGCTTGGGCTTACAAATTGTAATATTTTTGTTGGCATTTTGTGACAATGAGTTTTTCTAGATTTTTTTATTTTTGTATGAATATGGGCTTTGTGATTTTATGAAATGTGATAATGAACCTAAATTGATGGAAAATATCTCTAGCTTGCATTTGCATGTTGGCTCTTGAACTTGACCTGAATTAACCCTCGAAGAGAAATTTATCATAAATCAAATGTGAATCTTGAAGGAACTGAATTACTGAATCAAGGTGAACCTTGAATCAGTCTTGAACTTTGAAGGAGTCATAGCCTTGAACCACAAATCAATCTTGAACTCATCATGAGCTTGGAATGAATTAGATTAAAAATATGAATCAATAAATTCCTCTGCATCCGGCCACTTGAATATTGATAAACCAAAGCCTTCAATATGAGGCTCCTTGTGCCCGAAAATGCCTTAAAATCAGAGAGTCATGACCAAACTTTAATTAAAAAATAAACTCGATCTTGATGATCATCAACCATAAAACACTTGAATTTGCCACAGTCCTGACACTTTGATTCATTCATAATTGACTTGACTTGTGACATAAACCCTAATTGGATCTTCAGACACACCTATCAAGTAAGTCTTGAACCCTGGCCTTGAATACACCCTTGTCCGATCAAAACTAGGACCCAACCAGATGAACCTCAGTCAACCCTACTCATACACCTGACTGGATATCTCAAATGAACCTCAGCCCAATTGAATTTAATCCTGTGATACCCTGAGTTTGGACAACAAGCATAAACAACATATTTTTTTGATTTTCTGAATAATGGTTGGTGGATGGATATACAGATGAAAATAGTGTACTGGTAAGACAAATTTAGGGTATGACAAAATTTCAGGTGAAGAATAATTTTTTTTCTTCGTAAGTTAGTTACATGTGATTAATAACCTTCTCTCTATGTTTCATAGCTTCTCTCTCTAAATAGAGATAAATGAAAATGGAATCATATAAAAGATGTTTTTTCTCTATTGCCTTTGCTTTGTGTTTAGTTGAACCTCCTTATCTTTTTTTGTAATGTGATATTGTTGAGAATCCTTACTCCTTTCGAATTGCTCTGGTGCTACTATTTATTTATTTATTTATTTATTTTATTGTATCTTTTGTTTTGCTTTTTTATGGTCTATTTAACGTTCCTTATGCTGCACTAACGGTTCTTTTTATACTTTTGTAGTTTTCACCTATTTAATAAATAATGTATTTTGCTATTAAAAAATAATAATATTAATGAGGTGTTTTGATAGCTTCTCTAATCTAAATATTTTTACAGCTGTTGCACCTATAAAAGAAGTGTTTCTGAACTATAAAAAAGTTGTATACCTAATTCCCACAATTTGTACTCATTTCTCCCATAAAATTCCTTTCACATTACAACACCAAACCTTTCCATTTGAGAAACCAATATTTGTCATATTATCACAAATCTTAGAAAGTACCAAACCAACTCAAGAAACTGAAACTCACCATCTTAGTTTCAAAGTCAACTTGATCCATTCCAACAAAAGTAATAAGCACTAAGCCTTTTCTCAAGAGAATTTGGTCAACTTTGGGAAATGTACACATACATGGATAATCATCAGAAATTGATAAACAATTGTATAAACTTCATTATTTATTCATAATTTATAAAGCACTATGCTCCAACAAAGTGATGGAATTTCTATTTTATTAGTGGCCAACAAACATTCATGTACATCACAGAATGTGATGCATTATATATGCATGTATAATTATATAAAAAATTAATTTAATATATCAAATTCTTTTTAGTCTTATCAACTAGCACTACTAACTCTAAAATATTTTCAAGTAATCTTGATTATATTTTTTCCAACATTTTTTCTTGCAGTTTTATAAATTTTCTTTTTTCTTTTTCTCTATTAAAAGTTTATTAAATCAGTCTAAATATTAAAAACATTATGAAAATAATTTAGGTTAATTATCTTTTTATATATATTTTTATATTTTTTAAAAATTATTTCTTATTGACCATGAACACCTTTACACTACAAACAAATCATTATCAACATGTCTGACTTTAAAACAATTAATTAGTATACATTCAAAATAATTCATATATTATAAACAATTGTTAAACGGATTTAATTCATAAATATAAACAAAAATAATTCATATATTATAATTGATTATTAAAATTAATTGTCTAACGAATTTAATTTTTGTAAAATGGTTATAAATCAACTAATTTTGATTTAAATTATTTTTAAATCATTTTTTGTCAAAATTTTTTATTTAAAATTTTTTATTATTAATTTAAGAAAAATATTTAATTTTAAAATAAAAATCGTGTTATTTTATTTTTTAAAAAATATATTATATTTTTCAAAAAATTATATACATAATATATCAAAAATATTGATTTGATTAAAATCATACTAATAATTAACATACTTTTAATAACCGAATTTAAATATAAATATAAATAATTTAAATAACCGATAATTTAAACACACCTAATTAAAATATCAAAATTGAACAAACAATGTCATAATTATTTACATGTGAATAATTCAGTAAAAAAGAAAATAGAAACATGAAATATCACATGTTATGTTATCTGTCCTTGTATCAAAACAACTAGTTATTTAATAAATGTGACAGAGAGATACATATTATATAAGGTAAAAACAATAAAAGAAGTTCCTAATAAATACATAGCCTAGTTATTTTAGATCCCAAAACCATCCTTTTCTAATAAATAAATACACTATGCGTGATGCAACCGTTCCCTATTTAAAAACATCACAAGAATTCACATTCTTCACTTCATATATCTATATAGTATATCTAATAACCTATACTATCAACATTTTCATAGTGTCACTATTTCAACCACAACTTTTTTTTACTTATAATATAACATAAATGTCTTTTTCACTTATTTTACAAATATTTGCCACTATTAAATCTCAATGAAAATTTTGGGGAACATTGCCTACTTTTACTATAAGTGTGTAATGGTTTAAATTTTAATGCTAATGAAGTACATGTTTGTTTCTTGGTCTAGTGTTGGTAATTTCTTATCTTTGTTCTTTGAAAAAGAAATAAAAATACCCTCACTAGGTCAAACACATATGACATTAATAAATGCAATTTTACTAGTTATGTTTTTCATGCCAATATAGGTTGTAAGTTGGTAAAATTTCACTTTAGGTTTCACAAATACAAATATGTGACTTCAAATCTTACTTCTTTACTTAATTATTCGATTTTAATTTAATTATTTTTTTTATACTTAATTCATTCTAAATTATCTATGATTATAAACTCGATATATTTGTGTACATTTATTAAACGATGTAGTTGTGTGCATTTATTAATGTAATCAATCTTAATTTGTCTAAACTAAAAATGTTAAAATATATTCAACGTCAGTCATATTTATTTTTTCTGTATTTTTCAACGAACGTATCAAGGTTTTAGATTTGGACTCTCTATTATATATATGTCATTCGGTTTTTTTCAAACATTTGTAAGCACGTGTATTGCCATGAATTTTATAACTTTAGACTTTAAGAATGCAGGATTGTTGAGTTTTTTACTTAATCATTCGATTTTAATTTATTTTTTTAAAACTTAAAGGACACATTTTTCATTTTAAATTGACGATCTATGATCATAAACTTGATGTATTTGTGTGCATTTATTAATGTAGTTAATCTTGATTCGTCGAAACTAAGAATATTAAAGTATGTCCAACACGTCAGTCATGTATTTTTCAGTTTTTTTCAAACATTTGTGTGCATTTATCAATTAGTTTTTTTTAAATGTATAGTAAATATAAATAAGTATATCAACTCTTATCTTATACTTGATTTTTTATTTAGAAGCATAGTACTATTATTTAACAAGATTTAAAAGAAGATATGAGGCTGACACTTCTGCAAAGATGGCAGTTACATTCAGTTGTTGATGTGTGCATTAAATACCATTGAATTTTACAAACCTACAAATTTAATTCACACATGAAATCACCAACCACATCCCATTTCTTTCTCACATTCTTCATCTTTATATAACTCACTTCTCTTCTCATCTCATCTTATTTATTACCAACACCAAACTACATCTCATTCATATTCATTACACCACCCTCTCTCTTTCCTCTTCACACCCTCCCTTCCCAATGGGAAAGAAAAATTTGAAACTATCTTCACTTTTCAAAACCAAAGAAACCTCCCCAAGAAATAACCATCCATGGCAATTCTTACCTTCTTGCAACCATCCTCCAAAGACTCTCTCCTTTCGAACTCCTGCCGGTGATGATGACATATTCAAAACAGTTAACTCGGTGTTTTTCGACCAAGTCGAAACACCGAACTCATGCTTCACAACAACCTCGTCTGATTCTGCGAGTTTCTCGACAGAATCAGACGAGTATTATTGCTACAACGACGGGGAGTTGTTGGAGACATTGGTACGCGGAGTTAAATCCGAGAGGTCGTCGGAGAGACTGTTTTTCGAAGCGGAGGACACGAGTTCGATCTTGGAAAAGGCGAAGGCGGACGGCTTTCCGTTTAAGGAAAGTGTTGTATTGGCTTTGGAGTCAGACGATCCTTATGAGGATTTTAAGAGATCAATGGTGGAGATGGTTGAGTCACATGGTGTGAAAGATTGGGAAGGTTTGGAGGAACTTTTGAGTTGGTATTTGAGAGTTAATGGAAAAAAGAATCATGGGTTTATTGTTGGTGCTTTTGTTGATTTGTTGATTAGTTTAACAGGTTCTAATGATTCTAGTAACTCTTGTTCAGATTTAACTTTGTATTCTTCTGCGGTTTCTTCTTTTGCTTCTTCACCAACTTTGTATTTATCTGAGGGACACAATGAGATTACTGAGATTGAAGATGATAAGAATAATAAGAATAATGTAACAGGTTCTTAGTATTATAGATTATATTAGATGTAGTTTTAACCTCTCTTCTTTTTGTTGCTGTTGTATATTATGTAGATTGAAAGAAAAGTAAATGAGAATGAAATTATGATGATTTTGTTGTGGTTTTTTATAAGGATTGTTTTTTTTTTTTTATTATTATATTAGTTTCTTTAAAAACATTTTTCATTTACGGATGTATTTAAATAAATAGGCTGAGTTAAGAGTGGGACAATGAATCGCACTGATACAAAAATGTGATAATAGAAAGAGAGAGAGAGAAAAAGAGTAGTTGAGTGGGTTTGCTGAGTGGTTTGGTTAGTTTTAACTAAATATAAATGGGTCAGGCAAGTTCATTTTTGATGGTGTGTAAGATGAATTACTATATAAATAGGATGAGAATATGCTAAATTGAATTAGGTTTTGTTAAAGACTGAGTATCATCTGTTAAAAAATTCAAAACTTAACTCTGATTTGTAGTCTATTATAGATTTATTTTTAGGTTTGAGTCCGGTTATTTGGAATGTTTGATTAATCTATTAACAAAATTAAAAGTCTATTTCATTTGAGTATGTGTAAAAAACAATTTAATTAATGTTTAAGTAGACTATTAAATTAAAAGATCAATGAGATTAAATATTTATTTGTATTAATTTATTTGAGTTTATCTAATAGCATAAGTTTTGTGATACTGTTTGTTTGAGAGAATTTAAGAAAATAACCTATGACATTAATTATAAGGTTTTCTCAACTTGTTTTCATAAGTTTTTCAAGATAATTAAAGTTTTTTTTTTATATTTTAATTAAAAATATAAAATATAAAATATAAAATATTAATAATAATAATAAAGTTATTCATATTTATTAAAATGAGTCAATATGATAAGATTAAAAGGCTTTTTATGGCCTATGACCTAACCTTTTAACTAAATAAGCTTATAAAAAAGTCTATGTATTTTCTATTTTAAAAAAAAATCTGGCATGACTTGGACCTATGTAGGCTAAGTGTAGTCATTTGTTACTTGGTCTAACATATTCTCACCCTTACACACAAGGTCTAAATTTTTTCACAATTAAACTATGGTTAAATATGGTCTCATAAAATATTGTCACCATTAAATTGTGATTAAATAGAGTCTCGTAAAATATTGTCACGGTTAAATCATGGTTAAATAAGATCGTTATTTGTTATGTCGTGGTTAAATTGCGGGTAACCTACAAAGTAGAGGTGGCAATGAAATCCATTTAGATAATATTCATCAATCCATCCAATAATTTATCCATTCAATCCATCCATAAGACAAAAAATAATTTAATGAATTTGATCCAATCCATCCACTAACTCATATGGATGAATTCAATCCATCCATCTCATTTTATAAATCCATTGGATATTATGTTGTCACTTATTAAATTAAGAATTTTTAAATTAATTTTTTGGATGGATGGATATCCATCCATTAGAAATATGTTAATGGATGGATTGGATGGATTTTATCTTTTAATGGATGGATTAGATTGAATTTTTATTAAGAGAGTTTAGTGGATTGTTAATGGATTAATGGATTATTTTGATCCATCCATTAACAATCCAATCCATCCATTTTGACACCCCTACTACAAAGGGCCTCCAAAAATTTGAGACAACTCTTGTTAGAATGCAAGTTCAAAAATATTTTAAAAATCTAAAATACACTCATCCTCGCACAACCACTCTCATACAACTCAGTGTCTCTCACTCATACATAGATTCACTCACTTATCTTAATCTCATTTTCTCACTAGTCCTATTATGTGGCAACAAACCAAACCCTAACACCACCTCCATCACAAGATAGCTTAGATCCTTCCACCCATTGTTGGCATCTCACTCACACCATAAATCGCCTTCAACCTTTTAGAGGATGCCATATCAACTTTATAGTTATGCATGAAATATCCATTGCCAAATGATTGTATTGGCGGGATCCAAGGGGATCAAGAAACTGCTGAAGGTGTTATGAAGATAACCTAAGGGCTATAAGGGCGAATATATATGATATCGTTGCACCACAATCGGCCAATAATGGGGTTAATTTTGTGGATTGGGACCCTAGGATAGAGCCTGATAAGGAGATAATCACTCCCACCAATGAGCCGAAGAAGGTCCAGATTGGCTCATAAGAAGCCATCTTTCCAGCTCACTCTGGTATATTTCTGTCATCAGCTTGGTTTTCAAATGAAGTTTGTCTCGGTAGTGCATTCACAGGAAAATAGACATGCATAATTGGCCAACAAGGTTATCTTGTCTAGGATAAAGAAGATGTTGGACGATGCCAAAGGTATGTGAGCCAAACAGTTGCACCAGGTATGCTCTTTCTCTTTGATTCTATTTAACATAACATTTTTCCGCTTAAGGCATGCATTAGTACTTAGTATACTGTCGACAAAGGTTCCGTTTTTGTATCATACGACACTGCCACTCAACCACTAAGGAAATTCCATTATTATGAGCATTTTAATGAGGAAGTGAACAAAGTTGGGATGAGGGTCATTTCTGATATGATCTATGAATCCTGAGAGATCTCATGTATACATGAATTTGTAGCAAAGAAAATGGCCTTCAGGCGATACAACTTTGTTCACCGGTGATTTTGATAAACAATCACTTAATTTTAAATTTATTGTATGAATAATCAAATTAGTGAGTCCTGGGGCATGTTGTGTTAAATTTTTGATAAAAAGAAGTGTGCATTCATGTTGTCGAGCATTTGCGTTGGATATTGACTACTTTGGAAAAAAGATTAATTTTTAAAGTAAAAGTAAAAGCAATTTCGACCAAGTCGAAATGATAACTTGAATGAACATAAAACATGTAGATGTAAATAACATGTAAAAACTTTATTTGCATAAGTAAAAATTGGTATGCAAGTACATTTACTTCAGAGACTCATTTATCGTTTGCGTATAGATACTTTGAGTTAGAATTAAAGTTTATAATGATTTTTCTCACCCTGAATCCTAACGCTATAAACTTTATTTATAGTATTATGAAACTAATTGTCTTTAACATTCAACTTTCTTCCTTCCTACACGTTACTTCTGCATGTTTCGCTTGCCTTCAATTGATCTCCGCATATCTTTTGGTGTTTTAGATAAGACCAAAAAATAACTATTTGGTTTTATTTTGAGTTGACTTTGGTCAAATCTCCTTTGATCTGTTGAATTGATCAGGAACTAACTTTTGAAATTTTCACTAAGTACCAAACCAAATCCTTAACATTTCGGACATTGATGTTTTTCCCCACTATCTCTAGTCGAAAGGCATGAAATCTTGCCTTATGTTTGTGCAGAAATTTCAACTAATTCCCTTGTCAAATTAGTACATTGAAATTTCTTGGTTAACAAATTACCCCCCAAAAGATGCCACTTTTGATTCATTTTGAGAGATAGACTGTGTTTTTGAAATTTTCACCACTATTCAAAGTTATGCGCTGACATCACTCTCACAATGGCTATTAGCTAAATGTATTTCCGAGACATGCAAGTTCAGAAAGAACCATCATGGTTCTGATTTCCTTGGAAAATGTGGACAGACATAATCCCAACTTCCCACTTTCTCAACCTTCGTGGGGACACTTGTCAAAAAAGCCTTTTATTTTAATATATTTTCCTTAAATAAAAAATAAATAAAAATAAGGAAAATGAACGATTTTCTCCAAAGCTATAGATATCTTTCCTTCATCTTTTTTCTCTTTTCTTTCATTTTTACTTCACCTTCAACAAAACTTCAGTGTTTCTTTCTGAAAAAACTTAACCTCTACTTCCTTAAACTCAAATGGCATCCACATCAACTTCAGACCAGAAGATTCCTCTTGCTACATCTATTACCACACCCATTCTTGCTAGAAATCAATTGTATGCCTCTAAACCTCCTCTTCATGAAAAGAAAACCCTCATTTAGAAGCCTCGAGTGTTGATCCCTTTTAACATTTTTGACGTCACTCATGCTTTTTCTTCTGATCCTTCCCCAATCTTAATGTGAATATAGAAAGAGTAAGTGAGGTTTTCCCTTGTTACCACGATACAAAACCTCCCGCATCCATAAATCAACCTTTAGATTTTACCAATATGTCTACCCATATCTTTTGCTCGACTTTATATACCAATCAGTCGAACTACCTTAATTGGTTAAATAAGGTAGAATCCAAGAAAGAACATATTTGGAAAATCAAGTTCTTTTCAACCTAACATAATTATTTAGGGTAGGCCTTGTGCACAACTATAACATGTTGTCTGATGTGCTTCATTTTTTGGAGGGTTCGACAAACACCTTCCAACTGTGTTGTGGCATGATTACGCCAACATTGATTGATGTGGTTGCCATTATGGGTCTCTGACCAACTAATTAAATCTTTGACCCGTCTATCCAAAAGGAAGATAACATTAGCTTTAACTCAAAGTGTGCCAGCTTCACCAACTTCATCGTTGATCACATTAATAAGAGGACTAAGGAGGTTTCTGACAAGGAACATGTTGCCTTCTTATCCATATGGTTGTCACATTTCATTTTTTGCTCAAACACATTGTAAGTAGTTAAAACGTTTGTCACTCTAGCCAACCAACTACACTGTAGGATAAATATCTGTTTAAGCCAATTAATTTTGGCATCACTCTATGAAGCTTCAAACCTGGCATCTCATGCCATGAAAACATTCAGTCTCATTGACAACCTCAAGGGCACGTTTCTATTTATCTGGATCCTTCAATTTTGGCTTAATGCCACATATAAGTGATCTTTAATGGCTAACAAACCAAACAAACCTGCTGAAAACCCCAAGAAATGGACAGTCGAAAGAGTAGACTCACCTTGATCACTGCTACTGACAAAGGGCTTCGGACACAATAGATCTTCAATGAATATTATATGATGTTTGCCAAGTGTTACATGTTCACTTCTCACATGGCTCCCTCCATGGATAGAAGTTATGTCCCTGCATGGTTCAGAAGAGAATTCCTCGCACTTAACGCTG